CTCTAAACCATTTTAGCAACGATAATAATATAAAAAAATTAAAAGCATTAAAAATTTACTCGAATTATGTGTTTTTAATAATCTTGGTTTCGCCGATCACCGGTGACCCCCCGTGGCACTACGAACAAACTCAGTACCAGTCACCAATGACCCCCATGGCATTCAACGTGTTAAAAATCGAATTTCGACCAACTTCTGATGGCCACCTCTGTCCTCTGACCTACATTATAGTAGTACAGTGCATATATGTACCATCATGTTAAAGGGAAAATTCTAATAATTTTTTCTAATAATTGCTGATAATTTTCCCTATTTAATTGTAACAAATAAACAGATGGCGGATTTTTATTCTACAGGCATAGCTGCCAACATGGATAGAAAAAAAATCCAGTAGATTTTACGAAATAATATAAATTTCATGATAATTCTTGCACAATGTACTAAATATTTTACGCTTAGGGAATTTTAGGGATTTTTATAGTCATCAAAATAGAAAAACTGCAATATTTTCCAGTTATGATTGACAATCAACATACTTTAAATCTTAAGTATTATGTTTACGCATAATTTCGAGTATTAATAAGCATTTAATTAATCAAAGACAGTTAAAAGATTTTTTAAAATTTATTTAAAAAGAGAGTTGTAAATAAAAATATGCTAAACATTTTAGAACAAAAATTTTTTGAACTGATTGCTATAAATTAAGTTCGTTTCATTATGTACTAGTAATACTTATTTAAATATCCAAGCAAGCAATAATCTGCACGAAAATTCTTTATCAATGGGGATTTTTTTAGGAAACTTACACAATTTTAGAGACCAGGAGAAACTGACAAAATCCAATAGTCTTCTGGAAAATCCAGTACAGTTGGCAGATATGTACATTTATTTACGATACATGCAAAATAGAAGGCCAGCACCCAATCAGAATTTGAGATATAAAGTGTGCGCTGTTTTAGTTTAATTTTTTATAAGAAAATTTTACTAACACAGTTCTGTAATCAGCAGTTTTTAGAAGTTCATTAAATAATATAGATTTGCCATATTTTTGATAAATATCATTGTTTTTGAGCAATTCACGTTATAAGAATTTTTCAGCCTAATCTAAAATATTTTTAACTATAAATATTTTATCAGAAACTATACATATTTTATCAGTTAAAACTGTAATAAATTGAAATTTAAAAAAATATAACTGACAAATATGTAACTCACTCAAAAATCACATTTTTATTGCTCTACAGTTTTGTGGCAAGTTCCATAGAAGTTCTAAAAATTATTAAGCGTTATCTCTTTCAAACTCGATCTTTTTATTTTACATCTTTTTTGACAAGCACTGTGCTGTACAATAATACTCTATCATCAAAAGTTTGTGAAGTACAAGCCTATCAGGAAAACGAAATCAAAAACTTAACCTAAAAATCTCAGATGGTAAGATGAATTCAAATGACCTCACCAATAACCCATTATTGCAGCTCCAATGCAATGTTAACAACGACACCAAATCATATCTATCCAACACCTCCTAGAAGAGGGAAGACGGATCAATGTAGTAGTCCAACGTAACGAACATAAACTGCGCAGTGGGAAAATACGAAAGATGTCGCTTCGTTCGGAAAACTAAAGGATCAGATATCTCTTTTATGGTCACCTGTGCGGAGGTCTTCGCTTTTCTAGGAGGTGTTGATCTAGCATGCAAATATTGCAGTGGTTAGCAGTGAGTGCAGATATTGTTAACCATTTATAACAGTTTTGACCTATTTAATAATGACACGGTGGTTTTATGATAATGTTGTATTTAAGTAAAGCAATAAAATTTGCGACCGACAAACAAATATAAACCAGTTTTGATCAAAAAAAATGGACGTAGGTAAAGCGAGACGCTTTACTACTCTAAATATTTTTTACAAAAAATAATAATAAATAAAAACAAAAAGGCAAAATATACACATGGTTCATATAATCACAGCCCGCAAAGTATGTTTTTAGAATCCTTCTTAAAAAATGAGGTATGCAAAGTATATATAGTTTGTCTATAGAAAAAACTCCCCTCGCCACTAAGTCTAATGCCGTGTGCTGCTGTGGAAAGAAGAAATATCGCATTTTAAAGGGGGGAGCTTCTTTCTCCCCTGATCCCCTCTCTCTCGCCAACCCAAATCAAAACCTGTCTTAAATAATGATCTAACCCCTACTTAAAAAAGTTAAACCTCGTAACCATAGTCTCCGTCACCACTCCAGATGAATGGGTAGGGGCGTTCTTTACATAGACAAACTAAGTCACATATTGAAATTTAAGCTAGGAAATATTGAAATTTAAGCTAGGAAAAATAAAGTTATTGAAATTCGACAATTTTGGAAGCGGTAATAAAAACATCAAAAATCTATTTTTATTATTAGGTGAAACAAATCAAAATTATTCGAAAGGCATTTCGAATAATTGCCCTTTTAATTCTTTTCACTTACCTAAAATAATCAAACAGATTTAGTCTGTTTTTATCGCGCCTTTTTTAAAAGTAATTCGTCGGAATTTCCATTTTTTTTTTGTTACTAGATAAAATACTAAACAGCAGTAATTTTTTTTAAAAATTTATTTTTTAAAGGTTTTTTAAAAATAGTGTTGCTCATGGATCATCCTATATAAAAATAGTATTTTGTAAAAAAAAAAAAAATAAGAAAAGAGAGAGAGAATGCATGCAAATCTTTTACGCATAGACAATTTCAGATTACCAGTAAAAAACTAATAAACAATAAAATGAAAATCTTACACAACTCCTGTATTAATTATAACAGTTTTGAGTCATTAATTAAATCGAAAAAAAAATTTTTTTTCAGGACTTACATCTAAAATCAAAAAATCAGACTATGTCTTTCATTTTAGAACATTGTTGGCGACTTGGCTATCAAGGAGACTTTGTATGCCAAGGTTGGCGGCATAGTAATAATTAACTCAGAAATATATTACAGAGCTTATTTATCCTTGTAGAAATCGTAATAGATGCATTACGAAAGCAAATGATTGACAGGTTCATTGACGAAAAATATTCCAAATTCACTAAACTTATGAATTGAATTTCATATTTTAAAATTTTCGGCTATTTTTCAGAGATCTTTCGTTAAACAAAAAAGGAAAAAAAAAGTGCAGTTTAAGTACCTTAAATTTAATACAAAGCTTAAATTTTAAACGACATAGGGTGTTCCATAAAAATTTAGAAATAGAAGGCAGTATATATTATTAGAAACTCCTCCAAGTTTCAACTAGCAATCAAACAGGTTTAAATAATTTTACAACCACCTTCTTCAAAAATAATTTGTCAGGCTTTTTTTCCCCAGCTTCGATATAATAAACATTTTTATTAATAAAATTTCTGAAAAATGATAAATAATTATAAAAATATAACAATATAATTCCAGTGGGAATTAGACTGGCTTCTCACGATACTGTGTCATTGTTCATAACTATCGTGATATTATCAATAATAATTGTTGCCTAAAATTAAAGTGATATAATCGAAAATTATCGTTGTCAGTATTTATCATCGCAAATATAAGATTCATCGTTTTGAAAATGACTAATATATTTTTCTCTATAAGCATTACGATATTATCTCTTATAATAATTATTGTAGATAAGGCTCCAAGTTATAAAATAAACAATTGCTGTTCACATAAAATAATAAATATAACAAAAGAAAATATTTTTTAAACAAAAGAAAAAAGAAGTATTCTAAAACATTCAACTAAGTAACGCCAAACATATTTTTTTTTTCCCATATTGTACCGAAATTGCAGACTATAATTTACATCGTAACTATCCTTGCCAATAATACCATCAAAACATCGTCTGCTAAACATCGTCTGCTTGTCTGCTATGATCCTCCTTTCACACTATATAAATCCAACCACCCCAGATGAATTATTTCACCCCACCCATTTTTTATTACCAAAAATTCTAAAGATTGAGTCCTTCCTCCCTTCTTTTTCTAAAGAATAAAAGAAAATTGCTTTGCTCCATATCTGTTCACAAAATCCCTGCAAAGAGGAGAAAAAGAACTTTCTTTCAATACGTGTTTTTCTTTGAAGGTAGATGGCAACACGCGGTAGACGACGTGAAGTGAAGAAAGGACTTCTTTTTTTCAAATATTTCATCATTGAAAGAAAATACTTAAAACTTCAAAGAAACGGATCAATGCGAAAATAGATTTTGTTTTGCAACAGAGTGACAAGAAAATTGCGCTGAGTATTTTCAATCATTATTAAATTATTTTCAGCATATACATCTTGTATTAAACATTTAAGAACTATAAAAGGACAGTTTGAACAAAACAAAGAATAGAAAGAAGAAAAAAAAGTTTTGAATAACAAGTTGAATTGTAGCTAATACTTTGTGACAAACTTTTCAAAGTTTCATACATGTAACTTTAAAACAAATCTGAAATATCTGTTACATAAAATATTAGTCATTTTATAAAAAAGTAATTTAGAGAAACATTTTAAAGATGGGAAAAACGTATAAGCTAATTTTAATTAATTTCGTCGAAAATGTGGGAGCATTCAGTTATTTTTCTTCTTAACTTTGCAGTTAACAGCTTTAAAAAGAAAGTTTTTGAAATAATCCCTTTTGATATTTTATTTGTTTACTTAAGAACACAGGTGATAAAAGAAGTATTTCAGTCTTCAGTTAAACAGAGAGTGGTAAAACTATATTGTGCGTCAAATATTTATAACTTACTCTTTTCTTTATCACTGCTAAGCACCGTTGTTTCCTTTATGCTAACTCTATTTTATTTTTTTATTGTATGGATCACGTTTTTTTAGGTAAAGGTGTTGTCATTTGAAAATTTCAATATTTTATCACTGTAACGGCAACCGTATGCACTGAATAACCAGAGCAAGTGTAATTATCAGAGTACGTAACTTTATACAAAATTTTATTCTGTTTTCTCGAACGATATGTATGCCAACTAATCGCATGATTTATTATGATTACCACCCATACTTGCCTTCTTAAGTTCCAATTTAGAATCAGGGGGAAGTAGCTTCCACAGATCACGCCAATATCTAATCGTTCGTAATGAAGGATTAATCCAACTGTTGTTTAAGTCTAGTTCCGTAAAATGCTTCGTCTTCCTCAAGATTTCTTCGTGGCATCTTGAAGATTCTGTTATTCCCAGGCCGCAGTTAAAATATTTATAGAACTTTTCTTTACATCCCGATGAAGGCCAAGATCGCAAAATTTTCGAACATTCCGTGGTGTCCAAATCATGGCCATGTTGAAGATTGATAATTATTATTCCAAATAAACCTCTCTAAAATAAAGTAATTATAAGTTATCTATGATTAATTAAAAACCGATGTCTCAGTTTTCTTCTCTTAGACTAAGATAAGTTTTTTTTCTCTCTTAAGTTAAGCTTGATAAGTTAACTAAAGTCTAACTAAAGCCTCTTTACTGAAAACCTCTTCTTTAACTCATGAAAGCAAATGAAAATTTTAACTTTATGTGAGTCATTTCTTATTTGTTCATTGTTGCGTAATGTTGTACAATTAAGTGAAGGCCTTATTTGAATAGATTGTTTATTTCGACATAAAAAACAGTTATAAAGTCTAATGAGTTTATTATTTTCTTATCTGTTTAATAATGTTCTCTGTTTAGCAGCAAATAACAAGCTTGAAGTGTACTAGCTATGAAATAAGATAAGAATATCTTATCTTGTATGAACTTGTAAATAAGAATAACTCAAATATTTTTTCTCTCCAATAAATAGGGATTAAATCCACTGTTCAAAAAAAAAAACTCATATTATGCGTATAAAACATCGAATATAATCTGAATTATTATGCTTTTGCATATTTTAAAATTCTTAATAAGTTAACATTCCACACTGGCATAATAAATCAAGAGAATTTGCAGACTTGGTCGATTATCTATAGAAGTCTTGGATCAATAATGAAATTTGTTACGTACGTACACTGATATAATACAAAACAAATAACCATTCAACAATTGAAATACATACGCATGATCGTGCGTAACACTCATTGGTATGAAACAGCGGTATAATAAATTAAGAGAATTTGCAGACTTGGTCGATTGGCCTATCTCTAGAAGTGCTGGATCAACTTTAATGAAATTTGATACGTACGTACACTGACATAATATAAAACAAACTAGGAGGCTTCGCCCCCTGCTCGCTGGCGCTCGCCAACCCCCGGAACTGCTTTCGCAGTTCATTTCGGATAGCTTCTCAATCCGATGCTCGCTCATTGCATACGTTCTTAACGTTTAGCTTTTGTATACTTTTCTGAACACTGAAGTTCCGAAAACTTTTCACTGTAGAAAATTCTAAACCTGTGCATTTCAATATTAATTTGAAATTGCAAACAGTTCACATATTTTTCTTAATCACACTATTCTAAATTTCAGTTGTTGAGAAAAGTAACTGTTGTAAGTTTTGTTTTAAAGTCTTTCCCACCAGGGGGCTAAGACCATGTGCTGTAAAACAATATTAAATAGTACTGAACGCCGGATGTAAAGCATCGGCTTCGATGAAGATAATTTTGTGAGAATTTTTTTGATAATTCGGTGAGAATTCACCCAACTAACCATATGATGCTCACCACGTGCTCTTGCCCGCCGAAGCCTATCAATTAAAACGTATTAGCATTTTATATAATATAGATTAGCCATATAATGCTCACTACGTGCTCTTGCGCGCCGAAGCCTATCAATTAAAAATAAAAACTGTTGCCTACGCGAGAGAAGAAATATAATCGGTTTTATTGATACATACGTACGTATTAGCGTTTTATATAATAAGATAACCATTCAACAATTGAAATACATACGCATGATCGTGCGTAACACTCATTGGTATGAAACAATGGTAATAACTAAATAAACAACAACAAAAAATTGTTTGCCACTCCATGATCCCCTCCATGTTCCAGCTATCTCAACCCTAAACTTCTCCCCCTCTTCAGTGGGCGTAATCCTTAATCAATCTTCATCTGTCAAAATCAGAGAAGAAAAATCGGAGGGGTGAAGAATTAAGCTTGGAGAGGGGTGATAGAGAATTATGCTTTATCGCCTCTTACTTGGCAACTATAGGACTTCAAACCAACGCCAAGCAAATCACGTTCGGAGCGTACTCCAGGTGGCAACGTTTATCTTTTTTTTTTTCAAGATGTTTATTGCCAAACAGCTTTTAAATGAAATCAAAGTCGTTAATGCATTTGGTTGAAATCTTCAGAGTGACCAAAAAATAAATTTCTAAATGCAATTGCATCAGTCAATACTCTCAAGGATAAACGATAACAAGCTGATTATAATGCTGATTAGTAGAGGAAAGCACGTGCCCCCTCAGGATGGTTTTTCAATTGCGAAATATTTTTTTATTTAAAAGTTAGTTTTTTAAAACTTTAAAAAGTTATTCTTGATAAAATAATTCCATATTTATCACTTAATGTAAATGGTGTTTTAAAAATCATAAATTTCCATGAATTATAACTTAATGTTGGTTAAGGATTTCAGTTTGTAGTTATTTAATTAAATTTATGTTATGTTATTAATGTTCAGTTATTAATTATTAGTATCTTACTAACATTGCGTAATGATTCTTAAATATAAATTCTCAAAGGTTTTAAAGTTGGTTTAAATTTTTAGTTGGTTTACATTTATGCGCATTTAAATTTTTCTTAATTATGATATTCAACTTATACCAGTTGGCATAAGTAAGTGTAGTGTTAGCTCCCTCATAAGCTTCTAAAACTACAGTTTTTTTCTTTTTTAAGTTATATTCTTTAAAAGCTATTTTTAATTTGAGTAATAGTTAATAATTTTAGAAAATGCTTAATAATTTAATCAAATAATTCTATGCTTAACATTTTTATGGTATTTTTAAAAGCGTTAAGGTTTTTTTTTTTTTTTTCTTCTTCATTATTTCGATTATAACTTCATGATGTCAATGTTAAGTTCTTATAATTTCAGTTATTTAGTTTAATTTACGTACAATGTCAATTTTTATTAATTATAGTAATTTTTTTATCAACATTTTGTAAGAAAAATTTCAGAAGAATTTTCAATTTTTTTCCTTTATGGTTGGCATTCCTGCCAACTTTTAATTCTTTCAAGGATGATTTTCCCCAGTGGTAGTAAAATAGAATTTAAATTACAATTTTAGGCAGAAACATTAGATGTATTTTGAAAAATATTATGCAGCCTACCATACTCTAGTATTACATATTATTATATATTCTTAATTTTTTTTAAAAATAGTGGTGGTAAAAAAGATTATAAATTAAGTTTATAAATGCAAGGAAAGGAATATATGGAAAGCATACACTTAACTACCACTTTAAAAATAGAAATAAAATTTATATTTTATTTCTATTACATTAATTACATTACTAAAATACAATTAATTTCATTGGTTTTGCTTTATTCCCTTTAGTTATGTTTAGAGCCCGGATTTTGATGACCTAAAAAATCTCAACTAATGTCCTTAAAAAGTAAAAAAAATGCCCTTTAAAAGGGCCAAAAATGCTCTTAAAAATGCAAAAATTGCCCAAAGAATGCCTTAATTAAAGTAAAAATATTGAATTAAAAAAATTTTTTGGTCTTTAAAATTATTTTGAGTCATTTAAAAAATATAAAGCAATGCAATACTTGATCTACGTTTATTAAAGTTTGAAAAATATGTTTTATATCCTAAAATAACAAAAATAGGAAAATATATTGCCACCAAAATATTTTTGTTTTGTATAGAAACTTTAATGGATATAACAACTTCCATCTCATAATATTACTAAATATCAGAATTACATAGGATTATTAAATGTTTTTTGATAATTTGAAATGTAAACGAGCGTCTCTTGTCTGAAAGTAAATTTTCATTCCTGCAGAAGCTTCTTTCAACGTCTACTGATACTATAGGTGCGTACTTGAAAAAGACGGTCTCACTTACTTACAATTCTTCTTCAATTTGAAAAGATTTTGCTTCACCTGTTAATATTCTATAGATTTTCTTCATTGCTTGGAAGCCAGTGTAATAATGAAAATAGATAAAAAATAGTAAAAATTGGAAAAAAATTAACAAAAAACTTTAAAAAATGCATTAAAATGCAAAATACGCCCCAAAATTTAAAGAAAAATGCCTTATAAATCTAAAAAAATGCTCTAAAAGAAAAAAAATGTCCAAAAATGCAAATGTCATCAAAATCCGGGCCTTAGATGTTACAGCCCATTATTTGTAAACCATCAACATTAGATCCCTCCCTATATTTTCTGGTAACTTTTCGCTATTTATTCAAAAGCGATAAATTATTAGTTGAAACAGAGCAATTTATAAATTCAGATAATTTTTTTTAGTTCTACAATATTTAGATATTATTGCTTTTGTACTTACCGGAAATCTTTCTTCTCCTTGGCCATCATCTATACAGAGACCTTTTTGGCCACCTGTCTTGTTCCGCCACTCTTCTGTTAGATGAATTTCATCTACAGAATGTGGCAGGACAGGTATTAGGGGGGCATGCCTGGCCCTGTACATCTTTTTTTCAAGAGTGGTGAATTTGGGTATTGTGGCAACAGCGTCCAAGGATGTTGCACGTCTTCCAACTGCTGCACTATGAAAATAAGCAAAGTAAAAATCAACTTCAAACTATTGAGGAATCAAAATATTCCAGTAGGTACTTTTTCCAGTAGGTCTAAAAAGCAGTATCTTTTTCATAGCGTTGTCGTCACTCATTCGAATCACGTGGGCGATCCAATTCATTCTATTTATTTTTATGTATTTAATAATATCAGGTTGTTTATAAATCTTGTACAGTTCAAAATTAAATCTCCTTCTCCAGTTATTGTTTTTTCATTTACACCACCAAGTATACCCCGCAAAATTTTTCTCTCAAATATTGCGATACAATTTTCCTCCAGTTTTGTCATTGTCCAAGCTTCAGAAGCGTATGTCAAGGCAGGCCGGACAAGAGTTTTGTAGATTAAGAACTTTGTTTTTCTAGAAAGAAACCTAGATTTAATAAATCTTCTCAGCCCATAGACAGCCCTATTCGCCTGATAGAGTCGGTTTTTTACTTCAGGAGTAATTCTGTTGTCAATGGTAATAATTGATCCTAAGTAAGTAAAACTCCTCACTGTTTCAAATCTATAAGAATTTATTTCAAGATAGGGGTCTGGGACTCTGTTTCTTGAGAATAACATATATATTGTTTTCTCCACATTTATGACCAAGCCCAATTTAACATACCAACGGGGCAACAAAAAAAAAAGGATTTCTCAGGTTTTGCATCCAAGAAAATATTTCTTCAAATACAAAAATAAGCTTGTAGGTTGCTCTTTTTTTATTCCGTTTTTTTTTTTTTTTTCTTTGTCAATAAAATTTAGCATGTGCGTATCAGAAATTTTCTCGACAAAGTTCTCCCGTTTAACTTTTGTAAATTTTGAAATAATATCATGTTTTATTTAAATTCATTGAATTAAATATAACATGAGTTGAAAAGAAGAAAAAAAACTTAATTTCAGATGCTCAAAATTTTTTTTGTTGTTGTTGCTATAATTCCTAATAAGTCGAATTAAATTTAAAAGAAAAAAAAAAGTCTTGTCACTAAGTTTCTGATTAAGAGAAGATTCAAAATGATACGTAACAAGCAATATTTGTAATGCTTGTTATTTGGCTTTTTAAAAAAAAAATTGATAAAAATCTAAAAAAAAATTTGACTAAAAAAAAATTTGATAAAAATCTGACAGTAATATTTAATGTTCCTTCCCTTCTTTTAAAGAGTCGTATATAAAACATTGATAAAGTTGCGGCCCGCCATTTGACTAGTGTTTTTAATTGCGACCCCCGGCCACATGTAATTTGGAAACCCCCACATTAGAATATGAATGACCATGACATTAGAATGACCATGTTCGCACTTCTGTGTATATATATTTTTTAAACATAAATCTACAGTTCAAATCCAATAATTTAATTTGCCCAGTTGATAAATTGAAGGAAAAACCAATTCACTATTGATGCTAGAGCATTCACATTTTTTATATTCAACAAGATGTGAGAAAAAAGATTTGTTTCTGAGATTAGCAATATCAAATGTTACTACTCAGTGTAAAAATATGCTTTCAGTTGGTCTTTGATAATACAACAGCTAAGTATTATTAACACTAGAAAGACGGAAAATTAGTATATACCTATATTGCCGAAAAGCAGTCAAAATGACTAGATTGTGAATGCGCCAATAAATTTGTTTAAAATTAATTTTTAGAATTTTTTATATTATTTACAGTTATGTAACAAGTTATTAGTAAATATTAACAATAAAAAAATTTATATGTTGTTCAAAAAGTCACAAAATTCTAAGAAATCATGTAATTGTATACATGATTGTTTTTCTAATTGAAATTAAAAGCAGTCAAAATGACTTCCTTAGGCAATCTAGTGTTAATAGCTTCATGGATTGTATAAATGTACAATTTTCAACTGCAGCCTAATCACATCCTAACCTAAAAATCTGGAAAGTGATTCAGCTTAATAATAAACCCTAGCTTTAAAGACACAAAATCATAAATATTACATGCACAACCATGTTATTAGTTGCAAGTACCCAATTATAATTTTGAACATAACACACACTTTCATGTTAACAATGAGAAAAATCATCTTAAAATGTAAGTAACATAAAAAAATTTATGTTCTCAACATAAAAATGTTTTGAGTGGAGGAAGAGCCAAGATAATATATTAGTGTCTTTTCGAATGTTCAAAAATATGCTGATGTGTTTTTGTAAATTTTTTTCTAAAATAACGAAATTTATTTTCTTATTATCAATTTAATAGGAAGTTGCTCCATGATAGGTTTATTTTATTTGCTTTAAATAAAATTCTGAACCGAACATGATTTTTTTTTATTTTAACCTTTGAAAAAATTTAGTAATTTAGTCAATAAATAATTGTGTCAGTAAGTATTACAATTATTTAATTTTTCTTACAATATAAGACATATTTTAACGAACTCTTAATCTTTAAAAATGACTTTTCATTTTAAATCTTAAAGATAATAAGTAATGTATTATAAAAACTAACAGAACCTTGTCTTTTTATTATATTAATTTTTTTCATCGCTATTAGGGTATAACATAATCTTTTACAAACAAAAAAGTACTTTTTGTATTAATTAAATTTTCTTTTCCATTGCTATAAATGTTATAATTATATATTAATTAATATAGATTAATGCTATATTTTAAAATAATAATATTTTAATGTTATAATTTAAAACTGAAAAATAAATCTTTATTATTTTCTTTTTTTCTAAAAAAAAAAAAAAAAACATAAGTGCTTTTGTCCAGTAAATGATCTCTTTTCTTAAGGATATTTCCAAATCCGTACTCTCTATGATGCCAATGCAATAGCCAAGGTGTATACAATCGCCAATTTCGACAGAATAATTTCGTCAACAAAATATATAAAATAGGATATTTCTTAAAATTAAATTTTTTTGTTCTTAGTTTGCATATACAGTCAAACCCCGCTATAGTGAGCACGATTTATAGTGAACTCCCGGATATAGTGAACGAAATGTTCGGTCTCGCGCCTTGCTATACACGTATAATGTTATTTTTTGTGGATATAGTGAACCAAAAAAGTTAGGAAGTTGGATATAATGAACTTCTTTCTGTCTTCGACTGATTTTCTTCTTCATTTTTTTTGTAATAATTTTGGAATTTCTACTTCAAAATAAATACATATACCGATGTTTAAAACCATGTATAGAGGGGAATGTAGCGATAAGCATTTTTTCTTGTTTGCTTCTTTTATCTCACTTTCCCATCCCTAAACAACCCAAGCAAATGTTTTTAACCCAGTCAGATGATGCACCTGTAGGGTGTCAGTGGGATCAATATGCACTTTCTGTCAGAAGGAATGAGTAATTATTCATTATTGGTCAAAAGATTGGACACTAATATGTGTTGATAAGGCCCTCATTCCAACTCCTTTTTGCTCTCAGTTCAGTTAAAAAGAAGCCAGCAAACAAGTGTCTCAAATTTAACTATGGCGACTAGTAAACGTAAAACGTTCTCCATTGATGATAAAATGGGCATTATCAGAAAAACTAAAATTGGATGCAATCAAGTTGATATTTGCAGGCAATATAAACTATCCAAATCTGCAGTTAGTAACATATGGAAAAATAGGCAATTAATAATCTCTGCTCATGAAAAAAAATTTAGATGGCAGAAAAAAGTTGAGAAAAGCAGATCACAAGGATGTTGAAGAAGCATTACTGAAGTGGTTCACCATTCGAAGAAGCCGCAATCTTTTTTATTTTTACAGTATTTGGACAAATGTCGATGAATTTGCTAAACGATTTAATGAGACTACTTTTATGTGCTCGAATGGCAGGTTAGACAGGTTTAAAAAACGGAATAATAGAAATTCAGGAAAAATTATCTGAGAGTCGGGAAGAGTGTTTCCATATCTGATGTTGAGGATTGCTCATCAGCTAAAAAGTACTAAATTTTTTTTGTGCACGCAAGACGAAGAGTAATGAAAAATAACACATTTTTTGCTACTACATAATATTTTTCAGTCATTTATTTGAATAATGTGTAATAAAAGGGAGGAGTTTGGGAACCATTAATTAAATTGCCTATGTAACGGATATAGTGAACTCTCGGTTATAGTGAACCAAAATTTTGGTCCCTTGAAGGTTCACTATAGCGGGGTTTGACTGTATTTTGAATTTTAGTTACAAAAGTTTTCTCTAATTTTGAAAATTTTAATTTTTAACAAGGGTGAGGCAGACACGTGCGAATTTAATATATATGTATATATAAGTAATAAAAATAAAAAAAGAAACATTTTTGAAATTAGTTTGCATATATTTTTAATTTTAGTTACGAAAGTTAATTATAACTTTAGAAAACTTTAACTTTTAAGAAACATTTATCAATAGAGTGAGGTGGACACGTGCGAATTCAATATATATATTAAAATAAAAAAATAAACATTTTTGAAATTATTAAAATAGATT